TAAGCTAAAAGTTGCCCGGCAAATTTCATGCTGATACCCAGAAGGGAATTCAAAATGAAATTTAAAGATAAAAGAGCTGTGGGATGACCCAGAACAAGATGGTTCTGGCAGTACCAGCAGAGATCAACACGAGTGAGAAGAGCTGGGAAGAAATCAAGATGGAAAGATTGTAGGAGGAGATTTGAGACGTTTCGGCCACCAACCAATAAAATAACGCAAACGATACTGGTAGAGAAAGATACCGCAATACGAAGACCTGTCGATTGTAAAACGTGCTGAAATATGTCATATGTAAAATTAATCTACGCGGATTTCCGCTTCTAAAATTCGCTGTGTCTTCCATCCCAGAGTGACTAGCATTAATTACCCTGTCCGTTCAAGGCAACCATTCCCCTCCAAACGAACTAAAAACAAACTTTTGAACACAAAGAATAAATCAGAAGGAGGGGCGATACGGTATTTGGTTATTCATGAAACGTACTAGTGGAAGTATGGAATTTCAGGATAAATGCCCCAGGGATAAGCAAAGTTTGGAATTTTATCGCACGTAATGGGAACGATAATTACGCCCTGCCCCCCAAAATTTATTTATGTGTTACTGACAAATAACTACAGTGCACAAACCGGTTGGCTCTCACATCCAAGAAACTGGTTATCATAATTGCACGCAGAGATGCCAAGTGCTGTTTAACGACGCAGCTACGAACGCTTATTCAGGCACTGCCTCGTAGTTAAGTAACCAAATTCATCAATTAACAACCACAAACCCAAACCAACCAAACGATTCATGTTTCAGAATGTCTTGGGCCGCTGAGCATCATTTTTTTAATTTCTTTTTTTTACGAAACCTGAAGGAACACCAACGTGTTCATTACAGAAACTCAACGGACCTTAAAACATCTATCGAAAACCAAATCAGTGTGAAATAATTCGCAACGTAATGAGTTTCTTTGAGGCGACTGTTTAAGCAGGACCGCTTTTTTCTATTAAAGCCTAGTGGTAACTATATGTACCACCTGTTTAAAAAATACGAAGTTCTGCATTTTGTAATTTACGTGTGCCAGAACAAACAGGAATTGTTTTTTTACCTAAAAACCATTAACCACCGGATCGCTGCCATGGATACGGGTTATTTTATTTACTTTACGGAATTCATTCCTAAATAATATTTAAACGAGATTCTTCTTCAAAAGGTCAAGTTAATTGTGGGCCCAAGAAAGATCTTACAATTTGACACTGGAACAAAATTCGCTCCTATTAACAAAAGCGAAATGCATACAACAGACCAAGAATTCCGCAGTAGACAGACGTTTCGGAGATGCAAACTGCCTCCATCATCAGGGCGATAATCATATGCGGTTGAAGGGGACTGTAATAGAGTAGCTCCCGAAGCATCATCACTCAGACAGAGCGCCGCAACGTATCGGCAACTTCTCCGGCAGACCTGTATAGTGGGTTGCCGCCCTTAACGGCGTGTTGGAATGCAAGAGAGGGAAGGATACTATCGATCTAACTTCCGACTGGAAGTCGGGAGGTCCAAACCAAGGGCTGTTTTGGCCACGTGATCAACCCCTCTCCTTCTAATTTTAATTAAGAAGAGATGGCGGGTCAGATGGAGCACATAACTAAGCAGCTAATGAACGTACGAGAAGGGCAGGAAAGTTGATATGTATGTAACCTATGGATTAAGTAAGTGGAATAAACCAACAAATTAAACAACTAACTTAATTTCAAGAGTTGCAAAGCAAATACCAAGAGCACTAATAATAAACTAATCACAAAATCATCTAACTAGCTGACTGTGTCGCTAAGCTGATGCCTAATCAAACCAACTAGTTAGTCAAACAAATAACTTACTATGTATGATTTGAGGTTTTCACAGCGGTGAGTAAGTGATAACGATATAACATGCATTACCTAGGAATAACGTTATTGAAACCTACGTACTTGATATAGCATCTTTAAATAACGCAAAAACACACCAATCTTTAAAAAGGACAAATATGAAATTGCGAGACCTATGCTTCCGTATAAATCCCCAACCTCGTCAGTTAAATTCTGACCAGAATAAATATGTACTCAAATTACTTTGGGTTTTACTCGTCGTCAATTGAAATGTTAATTATTTTAAAAAAAAAACAGCGTATCCAAGGACGGATCTTCGCTCTCCTTCAAGCATAAAAAGGGGGGAATCTATAACACAATGGACCCGGCAGACAAAGCTTCTCCTACTACTGAAACAAACTTCTTGAAACAAAAACGTGTTCCCACGCCTTCTTTAACCCTTTAAAGTCGAAGCTAGTGTAACTATTATTTAAGGATTCAGTCCGTACCGCAAAGAAAACACAACACTTCACCATTAAATATATATCAACTGGTTAACGATGTTTAAGGATATAATCGATATTTATTGAGAATCATGTGGGACCGACAAATACACTTCGTTGACAAAACGCAGAATTACCGACTGTCAAAGCAGGTGGTACATATAGTTACCACCAGACTTTAAAAGGTTGAACTGGACGATATAAATGTGGTAAAGATCTCTAGTTTAATGCGTGTTCTGATCTGCTAACACCTGGCGATCAGAACAGGAAACAGCTGAGCGGCGCGACGTGACGTCACGCTACAAAGAGCACGCCATGTTCCTGTCCACAAGCACCTAAAGGCGAGACTCATCTAAATAATACAGGGCGTATCATTTAAAACGCAACCCGAAAAAGAACCACGAAATACTCAACTGTAACACTCTCTCCCAAGCTCCGCCACGATACTCGTGTCTAGGTCACTCTGGTTGCTAGGCCGCTGCGAGCATCAGTTGTGCAAAAGCAGTTGCGAACGTCGTGTATTCACGGGTAGATCGTTTGCTACTGTTCGCGATGCATTCGGCAATGCGTGTCCTGACTATGAAGGTCTGGTAACAAAGTTTCGATATCCAGGAAGAGTTTCTGTGTGACAAGTGTCCATCGAGCGACAAAACAGCTGAAATTACGGCCATATCGATTTAAAGAATCGAATCGGCTACAGGAATTAAAAATTACTGCCGTTAGTTTAAGTGTTTTGTGCTTGAAGGGGTTCGTGAGTAGTAACAGGGCTGCGTTTTAAACTGAACACCCTGTATTTAAGAATTCAGACCGTACTTCAAAGAAAACACGTCTCCATGACAACGATAAATTAATTTGTGTTTTTTAAGGGAGACAATCGTCTGCACTGGAAATCGTATGGAGCTCAAGAATACAGAATGCAGAGTTACCAACTGTTAAAGTAGGTTGTACACACAGTTACCACTGAGCCGTGAAAGGTTAGCAGGTACAGATCTTGCGGCCAATAACGCACATGTTATAACAACACGTAACTCGTGTTGATACAGTGCTGGACGACTCAGATTTGATTCCTAGCAAGGAAGTATTCTTGTCTTCACCAATGCGTCAAGACAGACCCCGAACCTCTGTTAAAATATAACGATAAGACAAACGAACACATATATCATCACGCTGTAGCTACGCGACGCGGCAGTTAACATCAAACGCACCGCCGAGTCCCAAAAGCTTCCATAACCTCAAATTGCACATTATTCACGGCTTAGCGTTTTGTCACAACCATTACAAGCGAACAATGTTATCGGGCAGTTTTTCGAAAAACCTCTGTAATCGCGTCTGACTTCTGGGCCATAAACTGGCACCCAATTTACTGCCGTAAGGACGTCACGATCCGATCTGGCCCACGTATTGTTTGGTCGTGCTTTCTCACACTGACTTAAAGTCAGTAAAGATAAGTTGCCCCTATGTTTCGACTCGAAATGAATTGCCTGGCAGCACAGGCGTTGTACAACATTTCCCTTCACCTGGTCCCCCCCCCCCCCCCCCCCCCCCGGGAGGAAGAGGGTAAATGTCCCTCATAGTTTATCACCACGCTTCCATCTTTCAGACCTCATAAGCACAATTTGCTGGTTCTAGGGTAATTAGGAGAAGTTCAACAATTACGATCGAAACGTGATTGCTGCTTTATAATTCACATTACCAGTCGTTACGCAAAAATTTCAGCTTCACTTTCAATTTTTCGTAAAAAAAAAATTCAAAAATTAAATTAGTAAACTGTTTTAAAGAAAAATTAAAACTAATATGAGATAATTTCCCGAAATCATTTACTTTTGTTTCAATGAATTTTTTTTTAGGACTTACGTGCATTTACCCTGGGCAATGGCGAGTCTCACGAGTCGGGATTAATTTATTTGCATCGCGAGCAATAATTAACTTCGGCCTTCAAATTTCGGCGTTAACAAAAAATACCAAACATCACTAAAATCCTTCGAGCAATTTTGATGATGAAATAAGCGTTTCCATGACCAAAAAAAACCCCATTCTGAGCGACGTGGATCTGAAGACGACGACGACCCGCAATGCGGTGGGTACAGACAACGAACGTTTACGGCCTCCGTTTCTCGATACGCGTGTCTCACGTCCTCGTTTTATGTGTTCCATTACCTGGAACACGGAGCTTTACAGAGGAGGCTGGCTACTAGCATCAGCGGTCTCGTCCCAAAACTATTAGACCTAACCTAACCTGTAAGACCAAAGCAGAAGAGACGAACAACTCTTCGGAGCCACCTTCT